TCTTTGCGACCCATGGACTATACAGTCCATGGAATTCTCCAGGCCAGAATACTGGAGTGGGTAGCCTTTCCCTTCTCCAGGGGATCTTCCCAACCCAGGGATCGAATCCAAGTCTCCTGCATTGCAGACAGATTCTTTACCAGCTGAGCCACCAGGGAAACCTGCTTTACATATTCTGGATACAGCTCTCTTTAGTAAACATTAGCAAAAGTGCTGTCTGTGGGTTTTCTTCTCACTTTCTTGATGCTATCAATTGCAACACAAAGTTTTTCACCATGATGTATTCTAATTTATCTTTCTTGTGGTCTTAGTATCCTATATAAGATAACTAAGTCATATAGTTATTTTTTTTTTCCTAAGAGGTTGACAGTTGTAGTTTTATACTTAAGTGTATGATTATTTAGAACTGATTTTTGCATAATGTGTGAGGTAGAGGTCCAAGTTCACTCTTTTGAATGTGGATATCCAGTTTCATAGCATCACTTATTCAAAAGATTGTTTTTTTCCTCAATTAATTTTCTTATCACTTCTGTTGAAACGTAGCTGTAAATATAAGTGTAACTGACCATAAATTTTTTTCTGTGATTCCATTCTGTTGATCTCTATTTCTGTTCTTATGCTAGTGCTGTACAGTTTTAATTACTGTAGCTTTGTAGTAAGTATTGAAATTTAAAGTGTGAGGTCTTTAAATTTGTTGTTCTTTTTCAACACCATTTTGGTCCCTGGCCTATCCATGTAACTTAGGATCAGCTTGTATTTCTCAAAAATATTGAGTTAGGATTTTGATAGAGGTTATTTTCAATCAGTAGATCAATTTGTGGAGTATTACCATTTAACAATATTCAGTCTTAGAACCGTGAACATGAAATGTCTTTACATTTATTTAGACCTTCTTTAATTCCTTTCAACAGTTTTTGTATTTTTTTCAGAGTACAAGTCTTGAAGTGCCTTTGTTAAGTTGATTCCTATGTGTTTTAATCTTTTTTAAAGTTCCTCATGTTAGGGGGGAAAGCTTTCCGTTTTTCTTCATTAAGTACAATAGTAACTGTTGGCTTTTTGTACATGACCTTTCTCAATTTCATTTAAATTTTCTAACATATTGGCGTATAGTTGTTTATAGTATTCCTTTATGACTCTTTATTTCTGCAAGTTCTGTAGTGATGTCTTCTTTCATTATTGATTTTAATAATTTGAGTCTTCCCTTTTTTTGGTCAATCTAGCTAAAGTTTTATCAATTTGGTTGATCTTTTCAAAGAATTCAAAGTTCTGTAGTGATGTCTTCTTTCATTATTGATTTTAATAATTTGAGTCTTCCCTTTTTTTGGTCAATCTAGCTAAAGTTTTATCAATTTGGTTGATCTTTTCAAAGAATTCCAACTTTTAGTTTTGTTGATTGTCTCTATTTTTAATTATTTTTTAAAGTTTAATCTTAATTGAATGATAGTTGCTTATAATATTGTATTGATTTCTGCCATACATCAACTTGAATCAGTAGGTATACATATGTCCCCTGTCTCTTGAACCTCCCTCCTACCTCCCACCCCTTTAATTCTTTATTTTACTTCCAGTCTGGTGTTTATTATTTGATTCCTTTTTCTTTCTTTGGGTTTAGTTTCCCATTAAAATTCTAGTTTCTTAAGGTGGAAGACAAAGTCACTGATTTGAAATCTTTTAATATAGCCATTTACAATATTATTTTTCCTCTAAGCATTATTTTAGGTGAATCCTGTAAGTTGTATGTTATGTTTCCATTTTCATTCATCTCAAAGAATCATTTCCTTTTTATTTTTTCTTCCATCTGTTTGTTATTTAGGAATGTGTAATTTAATTGCCACTTATTTATGAATTTCTTAAATATTCTGCTGTCTATAATATAGTACCATTGTGGTCAGAGGACATTCTTTGTATGGTATTAGTCCTTTTAAATTTACTGAGGATTATTTTATGACTTACTGCTCTACGAAAATGTTTTATAATCTGCCATAGAAAATATTCTATGTGTACTTGAAAAGTATATTCTTAGAAATATATGTATTTTCTTGCTGTGTGGAGTGTTCCATAGATGTCTATGAGGTATAGTCACTTCATAGTTGAAGTATTGCACTTTTTCTTGGTTTTCTGACTTATATCTATTATTGAAAGTGTGGTATTGAAGTTTCCAATTGATTGTTGAATTATTGTTTACTCAATTCTTTCAGTTTTGCTTTGTGCATTTTGGTCTTTTGGTATAAGATGCATGTTTGTTTATAATCATTTTGTCTTCCTAATGGATTGACCCTCTTAGCATTATAAAATATATTTCTTTGTCTCTAGTAACAACTTCTGTTTTAAAGGTTATATTGTCTGACATTGGTGTAGCTGCTCCAAATATCTTTGAGTTAATGCTTACAGAGTATCTCAGTTTGCTTCCTTTTGCTTTCAGCCTCTTTGGTCTTTGAGTTTAGTGTGTATCTTGTAGACAGCATATAGTTGACTCATATTTTTCCCTATTCTTCCAAATGTAAATAGAGTGTTTAATCTATTTACATTTAATTCAGTGACTAATAACTAATAAATAGGATTTTACTGTGTGATTTTTATGTCTTGTGCCTCTTTATTTCCTCTACAGTTGTTGCTTTCTTTCGTGCTAAATATTTNTAGTATTTTTTCTTCTCAAAAAATATAAACACAAAAATGTAAAATAAGTTGTTTTTATTTGTGGCACCATTTCCCTTCATCCCTTGAGTCAGATAGTATTTGGCCGTATTTATTCATGTGTTGCAGATGACATTTATTCTTCATAGATTTTGGGTTTAATATTTTCATTTAATTATTCACTTTGTGATTTAGGCTAAAATAGAAGAAAAAGTCATTTATGAACACTGTAGCAGTCAAAATGTGTATGTGAACGTAGCAATAAATACTCTTAAGCTGAGAGACCAAGGTAATTTCTTTTCAATTAAATAGTAAGATAAACACTTGTGATTAACACCTGACACTGAACGTGTTTTCTTCATTAGCAGAGTTGTTTACAGATATTCAATGAAGTGTATGTTTTAAATATTCTCTGGAGTAAAATGTGCAGGTGGCATTTTTTGTTATTGAAAATAACCAGTTAGACTTGAAATTAGACATGTAAATATAAACTCACTGATGAGATTATCACTGATATATTTGATTTCTGAATATAAAAATAACTCACCTCCATGTGGAGCAGTAGTTCTCAACTTTTAAAAAATCATTATTGTCCCCCTAATAAACCTATTCTTTCTACCTCCCCAAGTAAAATTAAGTACTGAGTGATAATATTTTGTCAGTTAAGTTGAGTTTTGGAGAGCCACATACTGTTGTGATATCAAAGATTTTTTTCATTCCTCAAGAGCCAATTTTACTCCTTTGGAAACAGTATGATACCCATTGAGAATACATGGCAATGAATTCAAATAATATAGAAAAACATCTTTAAAAAAAAAACAAAGACAGCTGTCTTCCAGATCTCTCATACCTACCCTTCTTTACATGATTACAAAGATGTGAATAATATTAATGAATACAATCATTTTATGTATAGTATGTCTCACTTTTCTTACTTAGGTATCTTAAAAGTCTTCAGTCAGTTAATCTAGAATCCATGTTCATATTTTAGATCTATGTCATACTTTTTAATGACTGCATGAAACTCTGTTGTATAGAACCTATATTGTAAATATTCCATTATATGGAATCTATAATATAGATCAACCAAACACTTTGGGATATTTAGATTGCTCACATTTTTCGAGTATAAACTCTGTGATAAATATGTGTGAACTCTTTAAACCTGAGCTTGTGTATCCTTAACATAGATTCCTATACAGAGAGCAGCTAGCAGAGAAGGTCTGTCTGCATGTTTAAAATTGGTAAATATTGTTAACCACCCCAGAAAGGGTTTGCCCATTTAATTTCCCCACCAATAATGAAGTATATGATTTTCCTTACACCTTGTCAAACTTTCTCATTTATCCTGTTTCAAAGTGTGAAGATATAGTAAAAAAAAAAAAAGTTATCTTAATATTTTTCATTACTATGAAGTTGAAGACCTTTATTTCTCTTTTTATAAATTTCCTCTTTGCACCCTTCTGCCCCCACTCCCACTTTCTACATTGTCCTGTTCACTCGGGACAGCCTTTTCCATATTCTCTTTTAATATGCTGCAGATATTCTCTTCAGGTTATCACTTGGGTGTCAGCCTTATTTATAAAGTTTTTTTATAATACAGAAGTTATTTTCAAAATGTAGTAAATCCCTTCTTTCTGGCTTCTAGCTTTTGTGTCATGCTTTGAAAGGCTATTCCATTCTCAAGAATATAAAAACTGTTCATCTGTGACCGTTTCTTTATGGCATTTTTTTTAATGTACAATTCTTTAAGTAGACATAAATACATGTATTAAAATATACAAGATCTCTTAGATTAATATTTTCATGGCATTCTAGCTTTTCTCCCTTTTTCTCATGTTAAATATAGCAGATAGAAATAGAACATGCAGATCTAAATACGGAATTTAAATATTCCCAATGGAAATAGAAATGGTTTGCAAGCTGTTACAGTTGTGATAAATGATGATGTAAAACCCATTCCCTTATACGGAATCTATAATACAGATCAACCAACGTATTTGGTTACTCAAATGGCTCAAATTTAAACATACTCTATCCAGGAGTCAAAGTGTATTCATTTTAGCAAATGTGATTCCCTGACCTTTTTAGTAGTTGAGTAGATTTAACTTTTTCCCAGTTTGGAATTGATTCTGAAGATGTTTGTTCTCACAGGTTGGTGGATGTTTTAAAATAAAAAGAATTGATCTGAAAGAGACACGTGCACCCCAGTGTTCATCGCAGCACTGTTTATAATAGCCAGGACATGGAAGCAACCTAGATGCCCATCAGCAGACGAATGGATGAGGAAGCTGTGGTACATATACACCATGGAATATTACTCAGCCATTAAAAAGAATTCATTTGAATCAGTTCTAATGAGATGGATGAAACTGGAGCCCATTATACAGAGCGAAGTAAGCCAGAAAGATAAAGACCATTACCGTATACTAACACATATATATGGAATTTAGAAAGATGGTAACGATAACCCTATATGCAAAACAGAAAAAGAGACTCAGATGTATAGAACAGACTTGTGGACTCTGGGAGAAGGCGAGGGTGGGATGTTTCAAGAGAACAGCATCGAAACATGTATATTATCTAGGGTGAAACAGATCACCAGCCCAGGTTGGGTGCATGAGACAAGTGCTTGGGCCTGGTGCACTGGGAAGACCCAGAGGGATCGGGTGGAGAGGGAGGTGGGAGGAGGGACCGGGATGGGGAATACATGTAAATCCATGGCTAATTCATTTCAATGTATGACAAAAACTACTGCAATGATGTAAAGTAATTAGCCTCCAACTAATAAAAATAAATGGAAAAAAAAAATAAAATAAAATAAAAAGAATTATCATACTACACTAGAGACATTTTTATGTTCTGTATATTTTTATGAAGTAGACAAAAGTAATTCATCATCTCAGGAGAAAAGTTCTTGTGTATTTTAGATACGTCTGGAAGCAGTAATGATAATAAGACAAGCGGATTGAAAAAGAATGAAACGAAAAATGGTAAGCCAACTGTGATAGTGGTATGCCTTTGTAATTGTGACCTTAAAGGGAAAGTAAATTTGGTTTACTACAGCTTTTAAATTATTATAAAGGATCAACTGCATACTTTGTACATATATATCCTTTTTAAGAATTAGTATAAATTGGGGATGAAAAAGTCGACTTTTAAATAATATTTGGGTTGAATTCTCAACTTTTTTTTTTGTAGTTAATGTATGTCTAGTCAGTAAGTAGTGCTACTTAAATTTTCAAATTCTACCTGCATTGGAATACCTGGAAATCTTGTTAAAAATGAAGATTCTGATTCAGTAGGTCTGAGTACAGCCTCAAAATCTGAATTTATAACAAGAAGGTAGAGAAAAGAAATTATTTGAATTTGATTGTGTTTTTATTAAAACCAAGATGGCTGTGCTTCTCTTTAAAAAAGGTCTCCTATGTAAGGATTGAAACAATGTCGATGCTTTTACAGTCTCCCAATCCTTCTCATAACAAAAGGATTTTTCCTTTTACAAAAGAGTTTGCTAAAGAGTGTCTAGTAAATTCTAATAAGAGTTTTTAGAAATAAATTAGAGAAACCTTGAGAGTTCATTAGAGTGAGGGAATCTGAGACTGGGTTACTGATGTTGGAAAGAGATTCTTTTTGAACTTGAACTCTTTTGCCCTTGTGAGAGTCATCATTTTTTCCCACTATCGCCTGCTTATAAGCTTTTGTACTATTCTTATCTGAGTAAATATTAAGAATTGTTAAGCAAGATTTCAAACCAGAAAACCTGGGTGTGTGTATCAACTATGATGTGTGACTTGGTCATGTGTCGTTACTTTTCTGAACCTCATTAACTCATCCATAAAATTGAAGTCAGTTCACTTGCCATTCTAAGTTAATATAAAGTTTATTTTTATTTATTTAGATTCCACATTTTTTATTTTTAAAACTTTTTTTTTTCATTTTTTGGTTGTGCCTTGTGGCAGGCATGCAGGATCCTAGTCTCCCCTACCAGGGATTGAATCCACACCCACTGAATTGAGAGTGCAGAGTCTTAAGCACTGGACCAACGAAGGAAGTCTCTAAAGTTTAAATCAATGTCCTTTTTGGTGTGTTTAATATACACCAGCTATTACTGATGTAATTTTTACTTTCCCATCTGTTGCCCAATGCTCAGGACATCATGTGGTCCAGGGAACAATACTGACTTGTTGTTGTCGTTAAAGGATACAAAGACTTGGACTCTTTGAGTCTATCATCTTACTTAACGTTAACCAGAATTCTGCTATTTCATATCCAAAAGGGTTGATAGACTCTAACCTTACCATCTCTTAAAAAAGGAAAAAATGCTATTTCAATTGTATTGAATGACTTTCCTTTTTCTCTTAGGACTCACAGGAATTATGGTCTACAGACATCTTAAAGACTACCTTCTAACTGAAGAACAGTTACGTGAAAATAACTACCCCTAGCCCAACCCTGAAAAATCAGAAAGTCTTCTTTTAAACCCAGGCATGACAAAAGCTCGTGTAAATGATCATAAGTATATGGATCTGAAAACTGCCCTTTCTGGGTACTGAGACTGGAGCCGTAAGAGTCCCAATGTTCTCATATTTTCCCTTGGAAACAAGAATTGTGGCTAGCATCATTAAACCACAGGTAAAAGCATGACTGCCTTCCATTTGACTTCCCTTTCTGTTTCATTTTGTTCCTAGTCTCTAAGTGCTTTATGTACCTAATCAATTTTATTAAATCTTCTTAGTAACCATTTCAGGTAAGTACTGTTACCACCTCTGTTTATACCAGTGAGGAAACTAAGGGTTAGGGAGGTCAAATTATTTACCAGAGGTCACTCAGAAAGTAAGTGGTAGAACCAGGATTTGAACCCAAGGAGTCTGACTCTGAAGCTCCGGCTTCATATGTACCCCGTACATACGTAGGCAGTGCTGTGTTCTGTACACTGCATACCCTTTCACTAGGAATTCTTATAGAAAGACTTACAATTACTCTTATTATTTTATATTTTCTCCAAATACTGGGCATAGTTAGTTAATATATTTATACCTATATCCTCCCCTTGCAAAAAGGAGAGAGCAAGGGAGTATTTAATATTAACACAACTGTCAAATCTTAGGCCCATCAGAGTTTGAAATGCACTTATATAAAGATTTTTCATTGGTTAGAAGATATTTATCTCCATCTTTTACATCTTTAGAACATCTGTTTTGGGATTATTTTCACCATTTGTTTTACCTTTTTTTAAATCCTCTCATTGGAAGGCAGTACACTTAACGGTTAAGAACCTGCACTCTGAAGGAGGAAGTCAGGCAGATCTGGGCCGGGATGTTGGATCAGTCACAAATGACCCCAGCCTCTGAATAATGAGATGGTGGTCGCTACCCCCATCAGGTTCTTAGGAGAGTCGTTAAAACCATGCCGCTGAACTGCTTGGCACAGTGCTTGCTTCATAATCTCAAAAAAGGCACTCAAATAAGAGTGGTCACCATCATCATCACCATCAGAACCAGCTTGAGGGTTATTAATAAAAAACAAGTATTCATAAATGGGTCTAGGGACTTCTGTGGTGGTCCAGTGCAGGGTGTTCGGGTTTGATCCCTGGTTGGGGATCTAAGGCCCCACGTGTCACATGAACATGAGCAAAAAAATTAAAACAGAAATGGATCTAGTGAAAAAGGCCAGATATACTCTTAGTGACTTAATATACGAACAGATCCCTGTGTCTAAAAGGAGGGCATGGGTCCTAATTCAGGCGTTACTATGTACTAGTGAAAGTGAAATTCGCTCAGTCATGTCTGACTCTTTGCAACCCCATGGACTGTGGCCTGCCAGGCCCCTTTGTCCATGGAATTCCCCAGGCAGGAATACTGGAGTAGGAAGCCATTCCCTTCTCCAACTACGTACTAGAGTAGATGACAATTCAAGTTGGTGACAGTCAGATTGTGGTGCTGAAACCACAACTGCCTGGTGGAGGGCTGACTCTGGAGTCGGTCAGGAGAATGCCTGTTTTGAGCCATGTCGTTCCTGATGCAGGAGATGGCGCACCTGTAAGCACTCCTTCATACAGTCCCGTTCCTGTTCCTGGTACTCCGTGATCACACCGAGTCTGTGCTCCTGTCAGGGTCAGGAATGCAGAATGCACGCAGGTCCTCGTTCTTCCTGCCATCTCTTCAGGAGTAATTCTCCTGTTTTAACTTCTAGGAAGACCTGCTGTCAATGTGGGAAGATCTACGGTGTGACTTCTACAGGCAGACACAGAAGGACAGAGGGATGTCACTACCACTTTGACCAAGTGTTGAGTCATAAAGGTGAGTATCTGGTGGTTCTGTTTATATGACAAGCCGAGCCGGTGCTAGATCAGTAGAGAGAAAGGTGGGATATTCAGTTCAATGTATTTTTGTTAAATACAACCTGGTAGAGAGAAACTGTTGACTATGAAGTTTCCATTACAAACACCTACTTCTGACCGTCACTTCTTAACTTAGTTGGAGCTCGCTGGCTCAAGAGGCATGTCTGTGACGACTCTTGTGCCTTTTTAGGACCTCAGTTCAAACAGCTGGGGCTTCCCAGGTGGCGCTAGTGGTAAAGAATCCTCCTGCCAATGAAGGAGACTTAAGAGACTTGGGTTCCATCCCTGGGTTGGGAAGATCCCCTGGAGGAGGGGAAATGGCAACCCACTCCAGTATTCTTGCTTGGAGAGTCCCATGGACAGAGGAGCCTGGTGGGCTACAGTCCATAGAGTCACAAAGAGTCAGACACAGCTGAGCTTACCATATACATCAAGCAGTTACCTGCTGACTTTACCTACTTCTCACAGGCCAGCATTAAAACAATTTCTTTGCTAATAGCTTCAATTTACTGCCCCTACCCTGCCCTGAGAGAGAATGAACGAACACTTGATTTCCTGTCCTGGCCCCCATGTTCTCCTGCAGCACAGTAAACTCCCAACAACCCGCTTAGATGGTGATTTTTCCGTACTCAAACCAGAAAACCTGGGCACTGTCATCATCATCTCCCTTTGGCACCCTCTTTCTTTTAACGTTTTTATTTATTTATTCTTTAGTCTGTTTAGAATGCAAGGGTTTCTCCTGGGCTGTGCCACATGGCTTGTGGCATCTTAGTTCTCTGACCGGGGTTAAACCCCGGGGCCACAGCAGTGAGAGCCCTGAGTCGTAGCCCCTGGGCCACCGGGGAATCCCCTGGTGAGCCCTTCCATCTCCGAGCGGCCACATCCCACTTGTTCTACCTCAGAGTGTCTCTTCTCCGCCTCTGCTGCCTCCCAGAGCCACACCACCCTCGTTTCCACCCCGAACTGCTGCGGCGGCCTTCCAGGTCACTCCATCTGCTCCGCCTTTTCCTGGCTTCACCGCCCCGCCCCAGTCTGTTTCTCACCCAACAGCCCCGAGAGTAATCTTCACATCACAGTTCTGTTTACCTCACCCCTCTGCTTTCATAACTTTCTTCAGTAGCTTTGTCAACCCTGCCAGATTTGACCTCTGCCCCTGCCATCTTGTACCCTTTCCATGGGCATCCTCAGGCCACACTGGCCGCCTCGAAAGGTGCCTTCTAACCTGCTGTCTGCTCTCCCTTTCACATGGCTGGTCTCCTCTCATCCTTTGCTGTTGGTCAGTTGCTGAGTCGTGTCCGAATCTTTGCGACCCCATGGACAGCAGCACTCCAGGCTTTCCTGTCCTTCACTATCTCCTGGAGTTCGTTAAAACCCATGTCCGTTGAGTCGGTGATGCCACCCAACCATCTCTTCCTCTGTCGCCCCTTCTCCTCCTGCCCTCAGTCTTTCCCAGCATCAGGGTCTTTTCTAATGAGTCAGCTCTTCGCATCAGGTGGCCAAAGTATTGGAGCTTCAGCTTCAGCACCAGACCTTCCAATGAGTATTCAGGGTTGACTTACTTTAGGATGGACTGGTTTGATCTTCTTGCAGTCCACGGGACTCTCAAGAGTCTTCTCCAGCACCACAAACCTCATTCCTTTGGTCTCTGCTTAAATATGATCTCCTCAAGGTTCTTTCCCAACCCCATGATCTAAAATAGGCCCTCCCTCCTAAATGGGAAGGAAATCTAAAAAGAGGGGATACATGTATACATATAACTGATCGCTTTGCTGTGCAACAGATGCTAGCCCAACGTTGTAAAGCAGCTGTACTCTAATAAAAGTTAAAAATAAACAGGTTGTCCGTCTTTTATCACAATGCGCTGTCAGTGGCTTTGGTAGCACATGACTGCATTTTGTAATGACTAGTAATTTATCTGCTGTGCCTGAAAGACTGCAAGGTTTTGGAGGGTCCATCCGTCTTTTTTTCTCCCCATCACCAGGCTGTCATTTAGCCTGGTACCTAATATATACAGACCTTAGGTAGCTATTTGGATAGATGGTGAAAATATGGATCATTTATGTAGATAGAGACACCACTAGAAATGCTATTATAATAAGTGGTATGAATAAAATAAAGTAGGTCAGAGGAAGTAGAGAGGAGTAGTGGATATGATTGTAACAGAAGAAATATAAGAATAAATAATATAGTAAAGATTCCCAGCTGGCTTAGTGGCAAAGAATCCACCTGCCAATGTTGGAGACGAGGGTTCAATCCCTGGGTTGCGCAGATCCCCTGGAGAAAGAAATGGCAACTCGTTCTAGTATTCTTGTCTGGGAAATTCCAGGGACAGAGAGGAGCCTGGCAGGTTACAGTGGGTTTGCAAGAGTCGGACATGACTTAGCAAATGACCAACAACAAAGTAAAGATTAAGCAAACTTAGATTTGGCCCAAGTGTTTGGGATTAGCTTTAGAGGGTAGGGGGAACTGTAGATTCCAAAAGGGAGGAAAAAGAGGAAGACACTGCCAGGGAATACGAGTAGCAGACTGTGACCGGGTGGATTCACTAGATCACACGACATCATCAACAGGAGAGGTCTTTGGAGCTGGTGGGCCTGAGATTTGGGTCTCTCTTATCACTTCCTTTCTCTGAGACCTCGGGCAGGTTTCTGAAGCTCTCTGAGCTTTCGTTTCCACCTTCATAAAAAGAGGTTTGCGTGGCAGTTGAATGAGCTGATGTGCCCGTGTCCTGGCTTACAACCCAGGCTCTAACACTGGTTCTTGGCTCTCTTTCCCATCTCAGGAGAAGATAAGATAAAGCTGTGGGATGTCAAAATTGGATAAGTAAGCCAGAAGTGCCAGCATGAGAAATTTGCATTTGATCAGTAATGTACAAATTGAAGCATTTGAGGAAAGTAATGTAATGAGAATGTGCTTGAAGAAGCACATTTAATCTAACCACATTTTATAGAAAAACTGGTGCAGAAATTGCTGTGGGCAGAGAGGGTTATAGGGAACAGTTGGGAGAACATTTCCTTGGGCCAGAGGGAAGAAGGGTTTGGGGTGAATAAGGGTACAGGTGATATGGAAGATTAGAGAGAGAGAAGAGAGAGAGATGAAGGCTTAGCATTATTGCTGTGAAAATGTGCAAAGTATCTGGCCAAAGGAGTGGAAGAAGAGAATGCTGGGATTTGGGGGGTCCCTCCAGGGTTGAAGATAGCATCTGTGTTATGGTCTCAAGCCATGTAACTGGGTGATGTTTCTTGGGTCAGATCAACAACTCAGATACAGAAAGGGAGAGGGTGGCGGGTGGAGCCACCACAGGACTCCAGCAAAGAGAGAGAGTAGAATATTTAGAGAGGATGGCTGAGGCAGAGTGAAGCAGGGTGAAGAAGGGACACTAGGGGAGGAGCTGAGGATCAGGACAGATGACAGGGGAGCGAAGGGCAGAAGGGGAAGAAGGCGTTCAGGACACGCGCAGTTATAACTCACCTTCAGAGTCCAACCCCCGGCAACTTCCCTGTTGGCCCCGTGGTAAAGAATCTGCCTTACAATGCACGGGCTGGGGTTTGATCCTGGTTAGGGACCTCGGCCCGTGCACACGGGCCTGTGTGCCGCAACTCCAGTCCGTGCGCCCTGTGGACAAGATCCCGCACGATGCATGGAAGACCCCATGTGCTGTAAGACAGACCCAGTGCAGCCAAAAAAAAGCAACCCACAAGAATTCTGCTTCCAGGAGTCAGTGTTTCCTGTTGGTTACATGATAGCTAGGAAAGTAACTATACAAAGTAACTGTACAGAGTTTTAGACCTTACATCAGGTCACTTGCATGGTAAGGCCTTAGTGGTCTTTGAGGGTAAGATGCTCAGAGAGTTAGCCACTCCGCCTTGTCAAGCTTGCTCATTTGAGTTTTCTTTGTGTGGTTTGCAGTCCTTGGTGGCCTCGAAAGGCGGTACAGCTCTTGCAGAGCTGTTCTTGGATCCCCCGGGTGTCAGGTCGCCAAGGTAGGGCTTGTTGCCCAGAATTCTGTTTGTGTCAGAACCAGAGCTGCTGTCTCCTGCCAGACCTAGATAGATGAACATTCGGTCTAATTAATTCACTGATTTTCAGTTGGTGAAATTTTTATGAGCTTAATTCCTCTTGCCAAAATATACGGTAACTTATTTGGCAATGTTTGTTTCAGCATCATGTTCACAACCAAAGAGAAAACCTAGGGGGCTTTGTGAAGACGTCGGTCGAGTTCCCACCCCTCGTCGGGAATCACCGTGTGTTTGCTGTGAACTGGAGGTGGCCCATTGGTTGTATGTTTTACCTTATGTATATGTGTGTAAGGAGCTTTCCCAGGCTTTCTCTCTCAATCCCACATAGCTCTGCAATGCTGTTCACATATTTTGGGTGGAGCAACTGTAGCTGAAAAAGAGTTAAGTGACTTGGCCGGGTCCCTGCACTTAGGGCTAGGCACTAGAGCATGCCTGATATCTCAGATGGTAAAGCATCTGCTGGTTGTGTGGAAGACCCGGGTTCGATCCCTGGGTCTGAAAGATCCCCTAGAGAAGGAAATGGCAACCCACCCCGGTACCCTTGCCTGGAAAATCCCATGGACAGGGGAGCCTGGCGGGCTACAGTCCATGGGGTCACAAAGAGTCGGACATGGCTCAGCGACTTCGCTTTCACTTTCTGCACTTAGCAATGGAGTCAGGAGTTGGCTGATGATCCTTTTTCTATTACCTATTGATTCTTTTTATACATAATCACTGCTTGTCCTACTCATTACATTGCTGAAATTACATGGGTGGAAAGTGTTATGAACACTGATATTATCCCCCAAACCATGATAAAAGCTTTAATTTTTAACAAACTATTTTTTATAGAGACAGTAAAATTTTTATAGGGATTTATCTTCTTTTATATGAGAAACAAGACTAAATAGTAGGGGGAAAGCAGAACTTGGAATCATGAGACCTGGGGAGCTCCATGGCTTACCAGGCAAATCTCCTGGATGATCTGATCTGTCAGTTACAAGGTTAATGATAATCCCCCAGTGACGGTGAAAATCAGATCCACTGATCTATGACAGAGTGCTTTGTATGTGTCAAACATCCTGTGAACAGTCATCTGTGACAAAACATAAAAGTAAATTTTTATTCCTTGTGGCATATTTGGAAAGCAGACTTGTGGACTATAATTATAATAAATACAGAAGAGCGGCATGCAGTTTCAAACTTAGATTTTTAATTGGAGACGGTTGAAGCTGCGTCTGGCTTAGAAATCAAATATCATTACCATGTTGTCCTCTATGGTGCCGTGTTTATGTAACCATAGTTTGCATTTTTTCCCCCATTCACTGAGGTGTATAACTAACTGCTGTCCAGTATGGTGCCCACTAGCAAACAAACATGGTGATGCAGTGAACAGAGTAGCCACTACCAGGGGGAAGCATCGACGGGCAAAATGCGTAAGGCCGTCAACTGTGTGGTGAAAAGTGGAAGCGAAGTTGCTCAGTCGAGTCCGACTCTTTGCGACCCCATGGACTGTAGCCTACCAGGCTCCTCCGTCCATGGGATTCTCCACGCAAGAATACTGGAGTGGGTTGCCATTTCCTTCTCCAGGGGATCTTCCCAACCCAGGGATCAAACCCGGGTCTCCCGCATTGGAGGCAGACGCTTTAACCTCTGAGCCACCAGGGAAGCCCTGCATGGTGAAGGGTGAAAACAAAATTTTTGGTGGTGAAGCGTACTGTAGTGTATATAGAAGTCAAAGTATAATGTTGTATACATGAAATTTACATAATATTAGAAAACAGTGTTAACTTCAGTAAAAAATGTAATTAAGTTGAAAATTCAGGGGTTCTCCCACCACCCCCGCCGCGGGTCCCAGCAGCTCGGGCGGCGGGAGGAGAGGCAGCGGTCAGGCTACTCAGCTTCGCGAAGGCTCTCGGCCGGCGCGGCCCTCAGGCCCTCGGCTCTCGCCCGCCCCGCCGCCACGATGCCCGAGAGGAAGGTCAGCTCCGCCGAGGGTGCGGCGAAGGAGGAGCCCAAGAGGAGATCGGCGAGGTTGTCAGCTAAACCGGCTCCTGCAAAAGTGGACACGAAGCCAAAAAAGGCGACGGGAAAGGATAAATCTTCAGACAAAAAAGTGCAAACAAAAGGGAAAAGAGGAGCAAAGGGAAAACAGGCGGAAGTGGCCAACCAAGAGACCAAAGAAGACTTGCCTGCAGAAAATGGAGAGACTAAAAACGAGGCGAGCCCAGCCTCTGATGAAGCAGAAGAGAAAGAAGCCAAGTCTGATTAATAACCACATGCTCAGTCCTGTCCGTGGTCCCTGTTTCCCTTCTTGTACAATCCAGAGGAATATTTTTATCAACTATTTTGTAAATGCAAGTTTTTTAGTAGCGCTAGAAACATTTTTAAAAAGGAGGGAATCCCACCTCATCCCATTTTTTAAGTGTAAATGCACCATTTCCTTCTCCAGGGGATCTTCCCAACCCAGGGATCGAACCCGGGTCTCCCACATTGGAGGCAGACGCTTTAACCTCTGAGCCACCAGGGAAGCCCTGTATGGTGAAGGGTGAAAACAAAATTTTTGGTGGTGAAGCGTATTGTAGTGTATATAGAAGTCAAAGTATAATGTTGTATACATGAAATTTACATAATGTTAGAAAACAGTGTTAACTTCAGTAAAAAATTTAATTAAGTTGAAAATTCAGTTCTTCAGCCATACTAGCCATATTTCAAATACTCAGTAGCCCCTTGTGGCCGCTGGCTACCCTATTGGACAGGACAGAAATAGAACGTTTCATCTTCACAGAGGTTTCTATTGGATAGCATTGATCTCTAATGAAAATACTTGTAAAGCCTAAGCCAAGAAAATGAAATTATTTTATGAGCAGAAATATTACTAACATTGAGGAAAAAAATTAAAGTTTGGGACATCTTTGATATGACTGTCAGATCCACTTACTGGCTTTTGTTGGCAAAACTGAATGACGGGATTAAATTGTATATTCTAGTTAGAAATAGTCCTTTATTATATCTAAGATGTTGAAATAGGTTTATTCAATGTGGTATATAAAGTTAATATCTCTGCCTTTATGGTGCTATGCAGCCAAAGGTTTGAAACTTACCTGAGTGACGGTGATGGATCCCAGCCTCCAGGTGGTCTGTGATACATTTGTGAAACCAGATGAAGAGGTCATTGACTGTAACACTAGGTATGCATTATACAAGGAGTTTGTTTTTCAAATTATAGAACATTAAACATGTAGTTTAAGTTTTAGCCTAGGTACCTTTACTGGAGTCAACTTTAGAGCATGAGTTACACTATTTTAATTTATTTATTCAAAATTATTCATGTTCTGTTGAATACCTTGCTAAAATTATGCAGGCACTGTATTAGGCCCTGGGTAACTCTTTAAATAAGAGATACGGCCTCATATCCTCATGGTGTTTACATGTTGGAGTGGTAGGTAGGAGGTTAGAGAGATAGGCAAAAATATTGAATAAATTATTCATTCATTTATTCATTCAACCATTAATAGGTTTCTTCTGTAAACATCATGCTATGCTATTCCCATTAGATGAAAATTTCTGTAATCCTGTAGACATGTTGTTGAGTATACACACCTTTTATACAGCATGCAGAACACTGGTTCAGTGAAAATTCTATTTTATTAGTCATTATTATTAAAGTATGGCATGCTTCTGATCCAAACTCAGTGGTAACTTGAGATAGTATAAGATATGCCTTTAATTTTTAAAAACCTCATATAAAACACCCAATAATATCACTGATTAATTGAATTGAATTTCCTAAAGGCATATAAGCCATATGACATAACACATGTATTTATTTAAATATAAAATAGAAGACACTGATCTTATTCTAGAATGAAAATTTAGAAGTGTTAATTACTGATATGATTGTATTTATTCACTTTTCTTTAAATAACGAATTTTCAGTGGTGCTTAAGTATGTCTTGTATGCGTGTGTACCCACTCCAGTATTCTTGGGCTTTCCCGGTGGCTCAGACGGTAAAGGACCCACCTGCAATGCAGGAAACCTGGGTCGATCTCTGGGTTGGGAAGATTCCCCTGGAGGAGGGCGTGGCAACCCACTCCAGTATTCTTGCCTGGACAGTCCCATGGACAGAGGAGCCTGGTGGGCTACACTCATGGGGTCGCAAAGAGTCAGACACGACCGAGCAACTAAGCACAGCACAACACAGCCTGTGTGTGTACACGTTTGTATGTATACATATAAATAAATGCACACATGTGTGTACATGCATGTGAACAGATACAACTTTATACACATATACACAGATTCTTTACCGCTGAGCCACAGGGGAAGCCCATGTATATATTATCACACTATGTAGTATGTAATTTATAGTACATATATTAATCATGCTTTATATGTGTGTACATCCATCATTTTGGAGCACAACAAGGCAAAATGGGAGTGAGTTAAAAGTTGTGATAAGTTTTGAGAATAATTACAGAGAGTTCTGCTAACAAGCACTTTTTAGCAAATTCCCTCATGTTCATAAAAATGTTTGTATACATAAAAACTCAATAAAAGTTCCTGTTATCAGAAAATGCATTTTGTTACTAATCCCTCTCCTGACCTCATTTGATGTTTTTTTCCTACTCATTTTGGCCATATCCTAATAGCCCCATCTATTTTATTCTGTTTTTAAACTTTATTGAGCTATAATTGGCAGAAAAATTGTACTATATTTCAAGTTATTGTACTCTTATTGGTTCTTGTTCTTCCATGGGTTTAATGTAATCTTTTCTAACTCCTTTTTGGAACAAGTCAGGAAATGTTTTGGTAATTACTGATAGTCATATCAGCAAAATGAGAATTGAAGGGCTCGCATTAAAAACAAAAGAACCTTCAAATCTTAAAAGCTTGAAAGGATTCAATGCATGACATTCTTTAAGAACTGTTTTAAAACAAACCCAAGTACTCTATCCATGATCATTTCCTCTTAATCCAAATATTTGATTATGAATCAAATTCCTTAAGCCAGATGATGGAGCCAGCTGTCTTTTTTTTCCTTATAGGAGACAGTAATATTAACATACAGCTTAAGTTGAAAATACCTTTGCAGTATTTTTCTTTTCTCCTAATCTGCACTAAGGCACAGCAATAGTCATGTTTCTGAACACTTATTTAGTAAGTGCTTCATGAAAACCCCCAGGATAGTCAGGCTTATGCATGTATTTTCACTGTATGCATATATTTTCACTAGATTCTCTTAAGCCATTGAAAAGTGAAAGTGAAGTCTCTCAGTTGTGTCTGACTCTTTGCGACCTCATGGACTGTAGCCTACCAGGCTCCTCAGTCCATGGAATTTTCCAGGCAAGAGTACTGGAGTGGCTTGCCATTTCCTTCTCCAGAGGATCTTCCCGGCCCAGGGATTGAACCCGGGTCTCCCGCCTTGCAGGCAGATGCTTTACCGTCTGAGCCTCCAGGGAAGCAATACACACAGTGGTAGTGTATACATGTCAGTGCCAGTCTCTCAGTTCATCCTAAGCTGTTAAGATTGGTAATTAATCCTCCTTTACAGATGAGAAAACTGAAACCAGAAGGTTAAATAACTTGTTAAAAATCAAACATAATAAGTAAATGGCAGAAACATAGCATAGTTCAAACTTAAGTTTCCTAGGCTCTGCTTAGGGCACCAATTGCTTTTCCATGTTCCCCATTCATGTTTCATCTTTAGCTTTGTCTTAATGTGAGATAGGCGAACTTTACTAAATTGTAATTGATAAAGTTCAGATTATACAAAGATGAGAGTTCACAAGGAGCTTTATCAGTTTGTGGTAATGTCTCCTCCAGCCTTACATGATTGATCCAAATGATAAACTTTCCCGTTACACCAGTATAACCTAATAAAGGGGTAGTTGACAGTCATAAGATCTTTGTTCTGTTCATCAAATGTTTGTCTTATTGAGTCAGTAATGTAGTCTAACTGTAACTGATGAGATCTACTGAGCTGTGTTCTTTACTTCCATGCAATTGTGCATCTTATTGGGGCAGGTTTTCTGGTGTGGTTGAAGATGACTTGAAGAACATGAAGACCTCAGTCCGTGATGTGCAAACTATCTTATTGAACCTCTTCAGTGCTGACACTATACTAATTGGACATAGCTTTGAGCACAGTCTCTCTGCACTTAAGGTAAAGAGTTACAGGTTCATCTTCTCACAAAACTGTGTGTTAACCTGGTAGTCGTTATCATTGTGTCATCACTGATGCTTGATGTCCCCTTTTTTGACGAGACAAGGAAGACAAGAATCACTGTGCTAATAACACTGTCGAACTTATGGTAAACCAAAAGCAGTGTAAGATAGCCAAGTCATTTGGCTAATCAAGATCAGAAAGAAAGTCAGTCCATCATCAACTGTGATAAAGCCAAAATCATTGGTTTTTTTTTTACATGATCTTTGATCATTATCTTTAATATCCAAATAAGTATGACTAAGTTGCTCTAACAAGTTGTTATAGTCACATCCTGGAAAGTATTTTTTCATGTAAGTCAGGTACGCCTTATAGGTAGGCTTAATATCAAAGATATGCTTATTTTACTTGGCATGATAAACCTGAAGATCTCCCCTTTAATATACTCTGGATTAAAATAGTCTGGTTTTTTGCTCCATGTTCTAGGAGTTTGTACTCTCTGGCTCATGTCAGCTACCTGTTTTTGGAAATATTTTCATTGGAACAGAACCGTCACACCCATTCACTGATAGATTTTCTCTTGTGTTTTCACACTACAAGGTCATTGTTGAGTAGTTATGACAGAGGTGGTGTGGGCTGCACGCCTAAGCTGTCTATAATTTAGGACTTGAAGAGTTTGGTGGCTTTCCCTGGTCTAGAACAGTGCCCTGCGATATAACTTTCCGTTATTTTAACTATCCAAGATGGTGGACATCAGTTGTGTCTGATTCTTTGCAACCTAGGGACTGTAGCCCGCCAGGCTCCTCTGTCCATGGGATTCTCCAGGCAAGAATACTGGAATGGGTTGCCATGTCCTCCTCCAGGGGATATTGGACATCACAGATACAAATGTGTGATTGAGAAAATGATTTTTTCAGTTTCTTAATTTCAATAGTTGCACATGGCTCGTGGCTACCACATTGCACAGTGAAGCTCTGGAACTTTGGGGACCTTGACTTTGTTTCAGCCGTCCCCAGGACTCAGCCTTCACGCAGAGAAGTTGTTCTTCAGTGCAGGAATACAAGTCGGCTTCTTTAATTCTCCCGAGTGAATGTCCGCCTCTGTCTGCACAGCTGGCCCCGTAGAATAGATAGTTGTTGCCCACAGCACTGTTGTGTGCATGTGACGGAGGAGACGGAATGTCCTCCCACCAGGCCCCACCCAAGTGTGGGCAGAGAGATGTGGGGACGTAAGCTTTCTGTCGGAAAGGTCTTCACAGAGATGTCCCTCTGTCACCTCAGCGACAGCACCTCTCAGTTTCTCACCGTGACGTTCCTGCTTCTCATTTTCTAGGAACTGTTGTTTCATCTGCCTCCCAGGCCAGAAATGTCAAACCAGCATGTTTCCTTATTCCTTGTAATTGGTCTGTTTCTTCCTTCCAGATCCCTCATAGATGTCTCTCTTTTTATTTTCTGTTTCCACAACCACCATGTATTTTTGCTCCACCCTCTGCAGCCAGGAACGGTGTCCTACGTGACTGATATATTAAGTGAGAATCTATGAAGTGTTTCTGGACAGGGCATCATGGGTGCTAAACATTAAATTTCCCACCTTTTTCTTCTTGATCCGCCTTTAAATGACTCTTGTCCTGAGGCTAACCTTCTTTTACGCCTTTGAAAATTACAGCTCTCCTAATGAGGAATCCAAATGGCACCTGTCTAGACTCTGTTATCTGTCCCCCCTCCCCGTATCCATCCTATTGTAAAATTTACTCCCTTCTTCCGTGTGAAAGCACAGGGAATTTGAAGCTAGATGGGACTAATCCTTTCCCATGCTCCCTCCCCAGAGATGGACAAATAAACCACGGAAGTGGGACTTGCACTGGAGTGAGTTGTTCCCCCCTCAGTTGAGTCGCAGGTGGGAGAAGCCTGACTCACCCCCTGGCTGCCGCCGCCCAGCCAGTAATTATTGGAACCCCTCTGAGCTCATGCTGCCTCCTAGTGGGATCTCTTGGTAGGAAAGTAGACTCGGCAGTCAGGCTCTGAGGTTGGATTTCTTTCTAACGTACTCACTTGGCTGAGGCAACTTTAACCTCTCCAAGCCTCAGTTTCTCTGGCTGTAGGACAATGAAATACCTACCGTGCTGGGTTAGTCTGCAACTTGTAGTGAGACAAGCCAGGTAAAGTGCTTGGTGACTGAGCTCGTATAACTGCTCACGTTCCTTGGTTTTATAGGGTTGTTTCTGCTGCTACAGTTCCTGCTGCTGCCATCAGTTTTCTTATTCTTTGGGAAGAATTTCTAAGGAGGTTGCCTCTTTCATTTGACAGTTAATTCATGCTTCGGTTGTGGACACGACAGTTCTGTTCCCTCATCCGCTAGGCTTGCCTCACAAAAGATCCCGGGAGGGTTTAGTGGCTGACTGCCTGCAGAGAGTCATTCACCATGAAGGTAAGAGCCTGCTTGCTCATGATAAACGTCCAGCTCCAGATCTGACGGGAGTGAATACATCATGAGGTTTATGGTAAAGGTCCCCTGTTTGAAATACTTCTCAGTGGGTTATCTCCTAGGGTAGAGAATCCCCAAGTATCTGTTTAAGTAAAATGTGTTCCATGCCCACCACCTGGCATAGACCTAGATGTGGCACAGGCATCAAAACTGGGGCAGACTGGTGACCTTGGAATTTATACATAAAACTTTTGTTGGCCTAGAGGTCTAATTCCATCCTAAATGTTGCTGTGTACCTCTTTGCAAATGTGATTTTCATTAAACCTGATGAGAGTCTAAAATTGATTGGGTCCGAGTTATCTCAGTGGCGCTAGTGGTAAAGAACCCACCTGCCAGTGCAGGAGACGTAAGAGTCATGAGTTCCGTCCCTGGGTTGGAAAGCTTCCCTGGAGGAGGGCATGGCAACCCGCTCCAGTGTTCTTGCCTGGAGAATCCCCATGGGCAGAGGAGCCTGTCCATGGCTACAGTCCACAGGGTCGCAGAGAGTCAGACACGACTGAAGTGACTGAGCACTCAGGCAGATGATCTCGCCCAGGGTAACTAGTGAGCTTTCTGTAAAAGGAAGTGTAACTCAAATTCGGTAGATTCATCATGCATGCACTTGCTTTACAGTGGATTGGTAGATCTTGCTCTCACAACGTTTTTTACTTCTGATATTTCTGATGTAAAGGCCCAACATTAAACAGGCTCATCAAATGCAACAAGTGCAGCCAGAGCTCTCCTGCTAGTGGCATCACCATAAGCACGAGGCGTGGAGGTTAGTTACTCTGTACGTTTCATGCAGACCCATATAGGCCCCTCTATTGCACAAGATAGAAAAGAAAGTTAATTTTTAATGTTAAAATGTTATAATGCTATGTTTCTACAGATGCTTCTCTGATCATGTCATTTATTGTACAAGAATTCAGATTTTATCTTGTGGTATTTATTTCATTCTATGTCTATTAGACACTAAACCAATACCCTCTTACACAGGATCTTTATATTATCTGCTTTGTTTAAAATATTCATATCTCAAATACCCAGAAAATGCTATTATAAAATTCATAATGTGTTCTGCTGAAAACAACCTGGGACCATGGACACAAAAATATTTCATCTTAGCAACAAAAATTGCCCTGTATAAAGCAAAGTTAAAGAAGACCACAGTTCTCTCAGAATAATGCAAGGAAACAAAAAATAATACACCATTTTACTAGTGTAGCCCATATGATTTTTCTCAATCTCACACATCACTTATTTTCAAAGGAACTGTAGGCTTGGTATTTTGGGTAGATTTCATCTACTTTTTAAACCCATGTCATCTCATATCTAAGGTCACTCTTTGTCTAGAGAGGTATATTTTTTTCTAACATCTCTATTTCTGGCTTCTTGTCAGATCTGCCATTCACTAGTGTCTGTCACTTTCTTGTTGCATATCCCTGGAAAAGAGGTTCATGGAGAAGGAACTGGTGTGCTATCCCATCATAGGAACGTAGTGACCATGTGACTGAGGACAGGGTATACAGAAAAAGGGAGATGTTTGTTCATCTAGATCTATGTAAAACATTTCTAAAGCAACTAGTGGTGGTTCTAGGTGTGAAATAGTGATATATTGATAAGCGGCCAGCGTTGATTGTGTTATAAACTCAAGACCGTTTTGAGGCCGTCTGTGGGCAACCTCAGAGGGAGTTGTCTATGTCTAACGTTTTATTTTTTATCCTGTTCTATTTGGAGGTCACAGTTCCAGTGAAAATGCAACCACCTGCATGGAACTGGTCCTCTGGAAGGTAAAAGATGACCTGAAAGTAAAAAAGTAACCACCTGGCCCAAGAATATCTTAAACCTCTACATTGCTTTCCTGACTCCTTGGCCTCCACTGCTGGCAGTAGAGTCTGATCTATAGTATCATGAGGTTTCTCCACACTTTCAGAGAGAGGAGAAAGGAAAGTCCTGTCGAGGTTTATGTACTACATTTTAAAGGTCAGATTTCCACAGCAGTTTCTAAACTTGTGTCTGGGGAGGGGTGGGGAAGGAATTAGGTTGTTTGGAATATGACATATCTTCATAGGCTGTGTGCAAATGACCATGGAAGATGCTTTAAAGTTGAAGTAATGAGTCCAGGACTTTCACAAAGTTCATTTCTCAGATTACTTAAATTTCTTTTCCTCTTTAAATACCTGGAACCATTATACTGCTCGGAGTCAGAAACATGTTTTCCTAACAAAATCGTAACAGTTTTCTTTAGATTGCCTATATAGAAATAGATGTAGAGGTTGTCCTCACAGAATATATGGATGTGAATGTAAACTTTCAGCGTGCTGTTAACATTGATACAGTGCGGTCATTGGGCTGTTGTGTGAGGTGTTTTCATTCTAATTGGTGGACTCTTCCTTGATTTTGATTCCTGTCAACCACTCATTGATCTTTTTTTTAAGGCAGTTTCCTGTGGATCTTCTGGTACACTGAGGTCTAATCTATATTCCCAATACTGGAATCATCTAGTTCCTTAAAGGGGTGGGTTCTTCCCTTCATTGCTTTTTGATAATATGCAAACTGGCCCGTGGAAACAACACAAATTCATTCAGATGGCTGACCTTTGAGTAAGTATGAATCTTTAGTATTAATTCCGTTAACATGCTACAGAGCTACAAAGGTTTCTTTGTCAACAGCATGGATGAGTCACAGAGATGTTGGCCGGATGGCCGCTGTGCCAGAAGTGAATTCGTGGCCTTCTGACAGTTGATTGTGATGATGTGTCAGTCCTTAGCACACCTTAGGCTTGCTGCTTCAGTATTTGAATTTACAAGTAAATCTTAGTATCAGTGAATTCCTTTTTCTTGATGCCATCCTTTCGTAGTCATCCCTTTTACTTGATGTGAAGTAAATTCATGATGATGTAAATTTATTTTAAATATATATCATCAAGAAGGTGAAGCTGTTATAGAGAAGGTAGCTGTTATTGTGTATTCCAAAGCCACATGCAAACTTTGAAGACATTATCTACATTTTCCAGAGATACCTTCATCCCCGTTCTTGTTTGGTTCCATGTACATGCAAACCAAGACTTGTCAGGAGTATCTTCACAACATTTGGGTAAAAAGCAAAAAGGAACTGTTATATACATATTTGGACCTACTTTCAGTGGCTCTTCATTCCAGCCCCTGCTCCACTGAAGAATAAATGGTGCGGCGGCAAGGTTACTTTCGCTGTGTCTCCACTGCCTATCCTGCTGTGGATGAAGAGCTTTTGGAAAATGCAGTTTCCTGGTCACTTTCTGATGCATGAACTTGAGCAGATGGCAGGAATATGGAACATTATGCAGTATGTACAACACTGCAACACAGTTAAGAGATTCCAATTTTAAGCCCTCAGTTCATATTGGAACCACAGGTACAGGAAAACAGAATATTTCTGGGAGATGTTTCTAATCTTGTGATACATCTGGTTGAATATACTCAGCAACTGCTGTCTGCATATTGCCAACACATTAGAGGATGATAATTTAAAGTGTTTTCTTAAGAGTATAATAGAGACGGTTGGTAATACTCATGAGACACATTCCTAGACAAAAAGTGGGTAGGCAAGACATTTATTCACTTACTATATGATCTCAGTATAGCATGTGCCTACAATATAAATGGTAAACTCACAACTGATCAAAACTAGAACTTTGTACAGTGTGCAAGACAGGTAGGGATGTTAATCTGCTATGATACATGTCACATGTCTCCCAAGTATAACTACAAGCTTCCTGTTTTAATTTCTTAACAAACACATCGATGTCATCTGAGAAACTGAAACCTATTAGCTTATCAGACTTACACTTCCTAAAGTTCTTAGGCTTCTAAGGAATGAGATTTAAGTCGGTATTTCAGTGTCTATGTTTAGGACTGACTTGTTGGTTCTGGAAACACATGAAAATGTTGTCGAATTAACAAGGGAATCAGGATGGCTTCTACAGATGAGGGGGAATATTTAGAGATAGAAAAAGCTCTTTTACATCACTTAGGTTAACATTTAAGAGACCTAAATCCATGTCCTGTTAGAACTCATACCTTTCCCCTACTTTTTCTCACCTGTGCTGACAGGTTTACTAATAGTAACAGTGATACATCTTAGAGCATCCAATATATAGGTAAATATAAAAAAATACCTAGGACAATAATGAGTTACACACTGCAGTAATTGTACTCTCACACCTTCCCATAAAGTCCATGTTTTTAGAAAAATATATTATTGCATATGAAACCACAAACAGGCATTCTGATTCCAGCACATTCTTACTCAAAATAGTATATACAGTCCTAGTCAGAGGGTGCTACAGATTCACACATGGGTCTTACGGTCAAAGTCCCAGGCACGCGACAATCTATATACATGTCCATTTTCTGTCACCTCTCTTGGCAGAGGCTTGCTTGCTGAGCATCAGGGTATGAAGGGTCTCTCACACCGGTGAAGGGGAAACAGAATATACAGATCAAAGTGGTCGGTCCTAGGCTGCTTCTTCTGCAGAACAGTCAATTCCTGCGTAGGTGAACTTCTCATAAAGGGTGGTGTTCACATAGGTCTAGGAGAACAAGAGTGGTTCAGAGACACAAGCTGGCTCAGTCCTGCCTCCACTGGGGGCAGTTACGGTCATACCCCAGTTTCCTTAGCTTTTCTCAGCTCAAATACAGGTGCTGTGCACTCAGTCACGTCTGACTCTATCTGACTCCATGGACTGTAGCCCACCAGGCTCCTCTGACCATGAGATTTTCCAGGCAAGAATACCGGAGTGGGTTGCCATTTGCTACTTTAGGGGAGTTTTCCTCACCCAGGGATGGAATCCCCACCCAGAGACTGAACCTGCACCTCCTGTATTATTGGCAGGTGGATTCTTTAGCACCACCTGCTGCTGCTGCTAAGTCACTTCAATTGTGTCCAACTCTGTGCAGCCCCATGGACTGCAGCCCACCAGGCTCCTCTGTCCATGGGATTGTCCAGGCAAGAATACTGGAGCGGGCTGCCATGCCCCCTCCAAAAGCCCCCAGATACCGATACTGGGGGGGATATCTCTCTATCCTCATTCCCTCTGTTGTATTTAACCACTTTCTTCCTGAAAGGCATCCCTTGACTTCTGCAAGTAAGATTGCTTCCTCTCCCTTTTTTCAGCCCCCCGGCTTCTCTAGCCCATGGTCTTTCACGGGTCCCTTCTGACATGCACCACACCCTCCCACACCCCTTCCTCCGTCTGCTGCTCATCTTCACATCTCTGGTTTCATTACCAACTGGGTTTTGATGACTTCCAGCATCTTCCATAACTTCCTAACCTAGACTTGCCTTTTGAACCTCAGATCTGTGTAGCCAATTAACTTTGTACTACAACTTTTTACGGAATTCCTGACCCGC